TCTTATTCAGTTTTATATTTCTGATATGAAGATCTTAACAACGGTAATATCTGAGATTTTAGGAAATTTATTTTTTAAAGATTTTTTTTGAAGTGGACCATTTTTAAAGTCTTTATTGAATCTGTTACAATATTGCTTCTGTTTTATGTTTTGCTTTTTAGCTGCGAGCCATGTGGGATCTTAGCTCCTCAACCAGGGATCAAACCCACATCCCCTGCATTGGAAGGTGAAGTCTTAACCACTGGACCACCAGGGGAAGTCCCAGAGATTTTAGGAAATTTAGTAGGAGTCCTAGAGACTGCATTCAAGTGTCTCTGCTCAGCTACCAACTGGTTCTGTGCCTTTGTGGAAGCCACTTTACCTGCCTGTACCTCCAAGAACTGGTCTGATTTTTGGTACCAACTCTGCCACTTGACAGCTATGTGGCTTTGCGGTCCTCTCTGGGATTCAGTCTCCTCATCTCTAAAATGATGGAAGGGGTCACTGATTTTTGACCTCTTCTTTTAAACTGCAGAACAAGTTTCCCCAATCACATATAAGTGAAAAGCTAAGTTGCTGCTCTGGATGAAAGAAGGGTGGGGGTGCCTGGGACCCTATAGCCTCTTCTACTCCCTCCACCTCTGCCAGGGCCATCCAGGCAGCACAGCCTCGGCTTCCTCACTTTGGCAAATTTCTCTGTTAAGCTCTGGTTCGGGAGAACATTGCTCTGGGAGGTGAATACAGAGCTAGAAGACCTGGGCTCAAGTGTGGATTCTCTTTAAGCAGCTGGGATGGCTCCAGTATAATCACTTACCAGCTCTGGGCCTCAGCTTTCCATCTGTGAAGTAAAGCAGTAGATGAGATGATTTCTAAGAATCCATTCTGGCCCTTACATTCCATGAATGCAGTCTTTCATTGCTCTACCTCAAAGGTTGTACATTACTCTGGTTGTACATTAGAATCACCTAAGGAGCTTATCAAAAATTAGTAAAATATGGCCCACCTCCTCCCCACGCACCAAGCTGATGTAATTGATCCCAGGAAGGACTCAGACATCAGCGTTTTTATTTGTATTTTTAAAAAATATTTACTTATTTATTTTGGTTGCACCGGGTCTTCGTGTGGCATGTGGGATCTTTAGTTGTGGCGTGTGGACTCTTAGTTGCAGCATGCATGTGGGATCTAGTTCCCCAACCAGGGATTCAACCCAGCCCTCCTGCATTGGGAGTGTGGAGTCTTACCCACCGGACCACCAGGAAGTCCCCATTAGTGTTTTAATAAGCTCTCCCAGCAACTGTGACAGCAACCAGGGCTGAGAAGCACCACTCCTCCACACCTAAAGCCTCAGTGGGGAACGAAGAATAAAAATTCCAATGACATTTCAGAGAAGGAATCCTAAAAGCTTAAATCTGGGGAGAATTTTGTTTCTTTCAGTCTTACAAGTGAATCGGTAGATGGGTGCTCAGGAACCTAAACCTATCAATCAGATAATCCTAAGTCGGGGAGGTCAAAATATTTTTTTCATTTAAAAGTGTTTTTGGTATTCAAGTACCTAATAAGTGATTCCTACATATCTGACTATAGTAGGTATGATGGGGAGAATTAACCAAGTATAATACAGTGCCTACTCTCAGTCTGTAATCTAATGGCAGAAACAAAATCAGTGGCAAACAGTATGGTATGAAATAAAGTGCTAAATCTAAGATAATCTTTATTGAGCACTTTTATTGCATGCCAGGCACCAAGTGCTTTATAGTATATTAAACAAATTTCATCCTCACAATAACCCACTGAGGAGGGTTCTGTTATTATTCCCACTTCTCACCTAAGGAAACAGAGGATCAGAGTGTTATGTAAACAAACATGCACAAGCCCATAAAGCTAGCAAGTAGCAGACATAAGGGTTGAAGCCAGGCTCCAAAGCTGATGCTGGTACCATTTTGCAATATCACCTACATCAGGTGGGGTAGATTCCCATATAAGCTCTGTAGGGTGCCAAGAGGAACCTCTTGTCTGGCCTCAAAGCATGCGTTCTGCTAATTGAAAGAGGAAAACTTCAGGATGCTTGTGGGTGAATGAAGAGCCCAGAGGGAAAGTGAGGCTGGGTCAGGTGACACAGGGCCTTGAATGTCCGGTACAACTTGAATTTGATTAGGGACTGGCGTAGGAAAGTGCTAATTTATCATGCCTTTAAGAAAGTGGGTGGGTTAGAATGGGCATCAACAGAAAATCTACAAAGAACAAATGCTGGAGAGGGTGTGGAGAAAAGGGAACCCTCTTGCACTGTTGGTGGGAATGTAAACTGATACAGCCACTATGGAGAACAGTATGGAGGTTCCTTAAAAAACTGAAAATAGAACTACTATATGATCCAGCATTCCCATTACTGGGCATATACCCAGAGAAAACCATAATTCAAAAAGACACATTGCACCCCAATGTTCATTGTAGCACTATTTACAATAGCCAGGTCATGGAAGCAACCTAAATGCCCATCGACAGACAAATAGATAAAGAAGATGTGGTACATATATACAATGGATTATTACTCAGCCATAAAAAGGCACGAAATTGGGTCATTTGTTGAAACGTGGATGGATCTAGAGACTATCATACAGAGTGAAGCAAGTCAGAAAGAGAAAAACAAATATCGTATATTAATGCATATATGGGGAACCTAGAAAAATGGTACAGATGAACCGGTTTGCAGGGCAGAAGTTGAGACACAGATGTACAGAACAAACGTATGGACATCAAGGGGGGAAAGCCGCGGGGTGCTGGGGGTGGGATGAATTGGGTGATTGGGATTGACATGTATACACTGATGTGTATAAAGTTGATGACTAATAAGAACCTGCTGTATAAAAAAATAAATAAAATGAAAGCATTAAAGAAAAAAAAAAAAAGTCGGTGTCCTACCGGGTGTGCTAGTGAGGTGGGAGGTGAAGTTGGTCCTGAGAACCTCTTGAGGGCAAGGGCTGTGTCCTCTTCATCTTTGTTTCCTCATGGCCTACACAGGCCTAGCACATGATTGTTACTAAATATTTGCTGAATGACAGTTGTGAACTGCTTCTTTGAAGTCACTTGGAATTCTTAATCTTCACCTTCTACTGCAGCCCAGCATGACATTACAGGTCCTAGACTGAGGTAGGAGCAGCGACAGGAATGAGGAGGAATAGACGGTTGAGACAACGAAAAACAATTAACTGGCTAGGCAACACATCATTAAGTACCCAAGGAACTACAGACAGTGGCACTCACACACATGCTGAGGGATATAACTACGACCATACATATGCCCAGAAACCAAGCCAACACGGAGAGTCCATTTCACAGAAGAGCACTGTGTTTTCCAGAATCTACCCAGCCAGAGGACCTTCCTGCAAATAATTGTCACCTGTGAGTAGAATGTTAAACTCTGCCCTTCTGCAGAGTGCCTTTCTAGTGAAGATGGGGGTGGGGTTGGGGGTGGATTCCTGAAACTGGCTAAGGACAACTATCTTAATTGTTCCCGAACTTCTATTTCAAGAACTTAAGTTTGGGAGCCAATTTAGAACGTGTTATCTTTCAGTAAGGAGCTCATAAACTCAAAAATCTCATTGCCTACATCAGAGCTGAATCCCATCTAATCCATTTCAATGGGAGTTCAACCTCTTCCAGGGTGGCAGGGCCAGGGTACCAGATTCGTGGAACTAGGCTGATTAACTTATTTAAATCCTGGTGATTCCCCAAACCACTCCAAGCCCAAAATAAAGTTGTGGTTATGGGATCCTCATACTACAGTTGTTTCGACTCTGCTCCCCTCCAAAGCACCAAGGGATCAATCCCTGTTTCTCATCACCACTGCGTGGGTAAGGTCACGCTAGAGGGACGTCCAGAGGCCTCGAGACCATACACTTGCTCTGACAGGGCTCTGGAGCCCGAGAGCCGCTGGGAAGTGTGTACCGCCAGCACAGTCTTTGCAGGTTGCTTATGGCCAGGTTGAAAGCTGAAAGCTGATTTTTGATTAGCAATAAATCCTGGCTAAATTAAAGAGACCAAAGTAGTCTATAAAATGTTCCCACCTGGAGTGCCATAAATGAATTATATGTGTGCTGAGGTATTAATCTCTTTAGAGTTTGGGCGAGTCTGGCTGGTCACTTCTGGCGACAAGCAACCTCAACAGGTTAACCCAGTGTACCTCAGTTTATCCCAGAGTCACAGAGATTTTTTTTTTTTAATGTGTTATGAGGTAAAAAGGATAGGTCTATAGCAGTAACCTGTTTAAAGATAATCTTTATTTCTAAGAATTTTTGTATACAAATTAAAAGTTTAAGACCCTAATACATAACATAGCAGTGTTTTTTTAAAAAATCATTATCCCTTTGAGAATCTGATAATGCCAAAGCCCTTCTCCCCAGAATGCACCTCTACTCATTCATGCAATATTTTGCATACCACTTTAGAGGATTACAGAATCCAGATTGAGGGTCTGTTCTGGATTATTAGACAAACCCAAATTTACTAGTTTTAGAGGGGTTCATCTGCTTCTTTCCCCTACCCTTTCTCTAGTACAGCTTCAAAAGACCAGAGAATTGTCAAAGAAATCTCTGAAGAAAGTATTACACTGAACTCCCTTGAAATTTCCTGGGGAGCATGCAGAAACCACTGTCAACTCCAAGAGGCATTCCAGACAAACTCCTAGCTGCTCAGGGAGGTTATGTTAATCATTGGCTCCAAGCACCACCCACCCTTGCAGTACCAACGCTGGCTGTCGGGAACCACTTACAGGTACAAAGCAGGTCTCTGGCTGTCGGGAACCACTTACAGGTACAAAGCAGGTCTCTGCACACCTCCCTCTGGCTTTGGATGCATTTTTAGTTAGTGTTTATACTAGAAACCCCATGTAACCACCTTGAGGTCTCCGCTGGCCACTGCAAGCACATGACCTTGTTCGTGTGTATTAACCACTCACAATTGCCACTAATCAAGGCAAAGATTGTACAAATGGGGGAATGGGGAAAAAGGGACATTTACATCAATTATTTTAGCAGCATCTTTATTGCAACAAAGAACCTGTAATAAAATGCAACAAAACTAATGTTTCACTTTACATGATTAAAAGCCATGTAGCTGAAAATGAGAAAACCCATAAACTTACTGGAGTGAGACATGCAGTTCTTTTTATATAAGTCAATGCTTAAAACAGCAGGCACTTTATGTTCTAAAATTAAAGACCTGAACTCCAACTGTGCTGAATACAACATAAATTTGTATTTGGGTCATGTAAAAACAAACATACTTTTTCTCTCTCTGAGGGACTTCTCAAATGATTACCTAGAACTGTCTCTTGACGAAATAAGAAAAGCAAGAGCCAGCACCTTGCACTAACATGTCTCCATATTTCAGGCTGCAAGATGGATTAGGTGAGGCTGGTTGGGGTTGGGAAGGTGGGAGTCAGGAAAGTTTCCTTATTCCTTTATGTCTGCTGGGAATGGACACTCACCTTACATATCTTAGTTTAGATATGGCCATGTCTCGTTGCTTACTTTAAACAGCTATAATTTGGGCTCCCAGGCTTAAGCAAGCACTCTATACCCCAATCCCCAAACTCCCCACTACACCAAGGAAGACACATTTAGTGTTAACAATTTTAATTAACTTCAGAATGTCATATACTAATTAGAAGTACTGCTTCATTAATAAGCATGCTTAGCATTTACTTTAGAATGGAAAAATTAACCATTTTACGTTATCTTTAAAATGTTTCATAGGAATATATTAATAAATACTTCTTTACAAATTTGCCTTTTCTACATATCATTTAACTACCATGAGTTAGGATATCTGGATGGAGTCTAGCACCAACCAAACACTAACTGGCTGTGTGACCATGGGTATATTTTCTCCTCTCTCTATATGGAGGTTTCCTTCTCTAAATAATGAGAACACCAGATTATACCAAAGATAAAACAGCTTGAAAATTTTACAATTCTGTAATAATGAGAGATCTCATAGGAATCATTCCACCTAAAGAGAGAACACTGTCACAGAGAGGTGGTATACACCTTCTGTAAGAAGTAAAACAAGTAAAGTGAGCATCAGTATCTATATCTCATTCTTCTGAAAAATAATGCATGCATTGTGACTTCATCCTCTTGTATGAGGCTTTGGAAACAAGCCAGGAATGGCATAGACAGAAAAACCTTCATTCCAAAATTAATCTCCAGACCAAGGGGATATATAGTTAATGATACCTTCTGCTTTTTTCAGAGTGAAAAAAGGGCCAACAGTCATCACAGATGAGCAGCTATCTTGACTGTTGTTTTAGGTTCTTGTCAATCAGTCCAGTGTAGAAATCACCTATTATTTTCTTAATCCAACTCATTCTCTGCAGAAGAGTGTCTTAAAGTAGCCCACAAATGACTTGCTTTAGAGTCACCTGGGAAGCTTCTTAGACATGCAGATTCCTGGTCTCCACTTAAATCAATAAAATCCAAATTTCTAAGAGTGAGGTTCAAGATTGCATTTCTTTTCATAAGCATCCCAGATGAATCTTAGATTTTGAGTCCCACTGCTCAACAACGCAGAAGCAACCATAACTACTGATGGTTGTTCAAGTGCACCCAATTATCAAACCTGCAAAACCCCCCTTTGATGTTTAAGCTAGTGCTTTTTGGTTCTCACTAAAAATGTTGCTATACTCTTGCCTTTTAGTTTGTTACCCAAACACAGGGTACAAATAGTTTTAGTGAGATTTCTACTGATTGCTTGAATTGACTATGATGTTTTCCACATTGATTTTAAAATCAAATTCAGTTGAGCTGTCTTTATGCAAGCGAATTCAGTCAGGTATTTTTCCCCCTATGGAAGGAGAATGGCATTTAACTGACTGGGAATTATAACAGAAGCATTCCTTGTGATGGGAGGAAAGCAGAAGGCAAGATGCAAAAGGAAAACACCTGTGAATTCAAGAGTCCATGACGTTCTTTAAGGTTTGTTTTGATAAAATATGAGATGCCATTTTGAAGAAACAGCCTTATTGGGTAAGAGGTTTCAAATGAGTAGCTGTATAAAAGCCACTGTATAGCATTTCTACATTGCATATTATATAAGGTTAGATGGTCAGATGCCACTAGTCCCTAGACAAAAACCATCTTCAGTAATCAGATACATACTTAAGTCATGGGGGAAAATACTTTCTTGGGGAAGAAAAGTTACCCAAATCAATTTAATTTAACATTGAAAAAAATATAAACAAATATTGGCATGGGAAAATATCATAACAAGAAAATCAATACATATACAGACACAGGGAAAAGTGTGGTACCTATTATACAGTATAAATACAAAAACAGCAAAACCCAATCCCCCTCCACAGACAGCACCACCAGGTCACCCTGCCATCTCTGGACCTCCCCCACCTCCCATGCGGCCCTTAGTGATGAAGTCCACATCTCACACACAGTCACCATCCTTACTAATGGAGGCTGTGCTCTCTAGGGCAGAAATCTACTCTCTCTGTAGTGGTGAGAAAGAAGAGAGTAATTTTTTTTTTGGAGTGTTGTTTAGAAGTACTTTCCAAACACTGAGGCTTGTCAAACTCATAGGTGCCTTCTCTGCCACTGGCTCCAATGTGACCCATCTAACACCCTAAGATTCTAAGATGGCAGATCCCAATCGGCACTACGAGCTCCCTTAATAGTCAACTGCTAGGGCTAGACCAGAAAAATGTCATGGTCATTCAAGAACTCACTTATACGCTTTGAACATTGCAAAAGAGAGCCATGCCTTGCTGGGGATCAGTTTATGGTAAAGAGGTTGTCTGGAAACTCTTTAAGCTCACAATATCTAAATAATACTCAAATAATTTAAAAAGGTTAAAGAAAGTTTCAATTTGTAAGGTTTCCAAAATTAAGAAGAAAATTTAAAAAATTAGAACTAGAATTGTAAAAGTAACTCTAAGGAACTTTTCCTCCCCTGAATAATGTTAGTCTGTACCTGTGTTGGCAAGAGTGTGATTTCTTAATCTGGTTTCCTTAACTAATATTCTAGGAGTTTAAATTTCAATTCCTAAACTTTTTCATGAGTATTTTTTGTCAAATTATACTTCTGCTTAGATCTTAAGCAGACCCTTGCCTTCTCCTCTCCCTGCCGTTCTCCACACTCTGGTCTCCCCCACCCCACCAAAATTCCCCTCCACTGCCCTAAAACTCTGGAATATTTCAATGAGGAAATACCCAATGGAAACTGGCACCACTAAATTTTCTGAAAAATACAAGTGAATGTGTACTTTTTTCTTTTCCTAAAGTGAAAGAAATTGCCTGCAAATATTTAAGCTCTAATCATTTGATTAAAATTTTCCTGTCTGTAATTATCAATATTATAAGACTAATTAAATCCATGCTACATATACAGTTACTTGCCTTTATGTGAAAGGAAAAACCCACTCGGTCATATCATCAAAGAGAACTATTTATACTAGATACAGTTTAAATTGGTTAAAAACTGGTCAGAGTCTGAATGAAACAAAATTAAGTGTCTTTAGGAGGCTACTAAGTTATCCTTGAAAAATCATTAATGACCGGTTAAGCCATAGGTTTAATAGTGATTAGTTCATAACATGCTGGATACACCCCAAGCAATGTAGTATAAGCTATTCAATTACATTTAAGTGCTATCAAATCTGTAACTAGTCAGAGATTCTGGAATTGAACCAACCCAATCACTAATATCATATTTTAACAAACTCAGAAGTATACTGTAAAAATACACTAATTAAGTCCATGAGGTTTCATAATGCTATTAAAAATGAAAATAAGGTAGTATGGATACATGGTACTAATGTCTTTCAGTAATTCTCATGGTATTGCTGGGTCCCTTAGAAATATGTATCATTTAATTTTGTGTATGGTTAAGGTATTAGATTACTATCTACAAGCTGTAAACACCTGCATGGCACCAAATATACTTTCAGAAGTAGATGTTATGTGGCAGGTACCAAAATGTGATGATCAATTCTCTACTGATTAAACCTCCTCATCTGGTTAAACAGCCAGTGTATACCAGAGTTCTACACAGGTCAAAGTTATATCACTTTCAAAGCAGCAATACGTGATCCAAGGTTTTCTTGAAGGTAGTGCAAAAGATGCAGTTCATAATGTTCTCCAGATTCAGGAACTCTTATGCTGTGTCTCTCCTGAGGATAGATCTTAAAAACAACAACAACAAAATCAAAATACACAAAATAAGAATTTAGGAATACATCTCCTTCCAAAGCTTTCCAGAGATTTTCAACAGAATTAATAACATGGAGCAGAGCTTCTCCAAGATGTTATACACATATATCCTATCTAAAGGGCCTTCTCTTTTTATAATTCCCTATGTACCACTAAGCTTACAGAAGGATCAGTGGTTCTCCAAGTGTGGTTTGCAGACTTCTGGGGTCCTCAGAACTCTTTCCAGGGATACACAAGGTCATATTTACTTTCAGATCAAAACTAAGATATTATTTGCCTTTATTCACTGTGTTGGCATTTGCACTGATAATGAAAGGCAATGGTGGGTAAAAGTGCTGGTGCCTTAGCATGAATCAAGGCAGTGACATACACTTGTAAACAAGAAAAAATGCCAGTTTTCCTTAAGTAGTAGTAAAAATTAGAATTTTATTAAGTTGCAACCCTTAAGCAGAGGTCTTTTTATATTCTGTGGTGATAAGATGGGAAGAAGGCATAAAGCACTTCTGCTACACGATGTCTCAAGGAAAAGGACTTGTACAACTGAGTTTTGTTTTGTTTTTTCTTTTGGCCCCGCCGCACAGCATGCGGGATCTTAGTTCCCTGACCAGGTATCGAACCCACGCCCCCTGCAGTGGAAGAACGGAGTCTTAACCACTAGATAGCCAGGGAAGTCCCTACAACTGAGTTTTTAAATGGAACTCCATTTTTCACTTGAAAGAATGACAACTATGGTGATTCAGACTTGGCTATCTGGCAAACATTTTCTAAAAATGATGTGAGCCAGTCACTTCAAGGACAACACTGACAGTATTTGTTGCCAATGATAAATTTTGTGCTTTTAAATGAAAATTAGAATTTTGGAAAACTTGCATCTACCACTCCTAGCTCATGAGCTTCTCAATACTTGGAGAATTTTCTGTTGAGATCAGTGGTAATATCAATGTATATGATTTAAAAAATATTGTATGATTAAGTGGATCAACACTTAGAAGTGAACCAATATTTTCCAGATGACCAATGCATGGGTGAAAGATCCATTTGAAGTACGAGATCCAACAGATTGTAATGTAGCAGAGTATGAAAAGTTTACAGATATGGTTTCAGATTCCACACTAAGACTAACCTTTAAGAAACTACCATTTGTTCAGTTTTGGTGTAGCAACAAAGAAGAATACCCATGATTATCTGAAAAAGCTAAAATATTACTCCCATTTCTTAATTACATATTTTGTGAGGCCAAAATTTCTTCATTTACTTTAGCCAAAACAACATTTCACAACAGATTGTATGTGGAAGTAGATACGAGAATCTAGATGTATTTCTTATCAAGCCGGAGATTAAAGGGATTTAGAAAAATGTAAAACAGTGCTAACTTTCTCAGTAAATTGTTTTGTTTTGAAAAATTTTCTCCTGCATTAAAAATGTGATCTGTGTTAACATGTAATAGTTTATTATTGTTAATTTTAAATAAATAAATGAATATTTTAAAATTTTCTTAGTCTTAATATCTTATATGAGAAATACTGATAGACATAACTCACATAAACAAAAGCTTTTTGGTATATAAAAGGGTCCTGAGACCAAAACGCTTGAAAACTGCTGCTATAGACAAATATCTCATAGTTTACCTACATAAATGTCAACTGAAACACAAAAAAGGGAAAAGTAATATTTTTCATTTCTTATGAGAACAATCTGTGTAAGGAGTAGAAACGAGGAAGAAAGGAGGAAAAATTTCTCTTAAAAGCTTTTTTTTGAGTAATGGAGCAATGGTGGTAAGTAACTTGTTGGTTTCTGCTCCAATGTCAATATAAAACAGAAGAAAATTAAAAGACCTTGTAATCAGGTCCTAAAAATCCTTTATAACAATGAAATCAACTAGCATTTCTTTACCCTTCCAAGAGGAAGAAGAAAAGCAAAGGAGGATAGTGAATGGACTCCTGTCATCTTGTCCATGATTACAAACTGAAAGCAGATACAGATACACAAGTCATGTAATCTGATAGGACAATTTTCATCCTGACTTCCACAGGATCTTAATTTTTATCTAACCAGAGGCACTACTAACTATGCCTATTATTTTAGTTCTCTTAAGCAGAGAGTGGCCACAGCTGAAAATTCAATCTTATTCCATACTTTATTATATTTCAAAGTAACCAATCATTAATCATGGCTATTTTAATCAGGAAATGTAAAAGAACTCACCTGTAAATCATATGGCTTTCCAGCCCTCACTAAAAAACTCAGTAATATACTGGTGTGTGCAAAATGGACATTCTCATCCAAGAACCCATGTAAGAGTAGTAAACGATTTGGTCTGGAAAAATGGAAATATCAGAGGATTAGGCAAAATAAGAGTATTTGGGAAAACCACTTAACTCCTTAAAACTAATCACAACTAACTACGTTAACTTCCTTATACTGTAATATTAGAATAAGAATTCAACATTTTGGGACTTTCCTGGTGGTGCAGTGGTTAGGAATCCGCCTGCCAATGCAGGGGACACGGGTTTGAGCCCTGGTACGGGAAGATCCCACATGCCATGCAGCAACTAAGCCCGTGTGCCACAACTACTGAGCCTGCGCTCTAGAGCCCGCAAACCACAACTACTGAGCCCACGTGCCACAACTACTGAAGCCCACATGCCTAGAGCCCGTGCTCCGCAACAAGAGAAGCCACCGCAATGAGAAGCCCGCACACCGCAACGAAGAGTAGCCCCCGCTCTGCACAACTAGAGAAAGCCCGCGCGCATCAACGAAGACCCAAGGCAGCCAAAATAAATAAATAAATAAATTTATTTAAAAAAAGGATTCAGCATTTCAATATTAAATTAGTAATATATTAACCAGATGCTACATGTAAAGAAAAAAAAATTTTAATTAAATCATGTTCTATTTCCTATTAAGATATTAGCACACATCAATAATTATAGCATGTCCCTAGAAAAAGAAAAATCATATGTTACTTGCAAAATATACGTAAGCAGAAATGGAATTTTTTCCACCTTGAAACAGTTGTGTACTTAATTAAGCTTCTTTTATCACTTAAGCAACTGCTTCAAATATAACTTGTAAAAAAACCCAAATTATATGAACTGGCCTATAATTAAGCTTTGACAAACAGCTATGTCTTCTAGTACTCTATAAAATATTAGCTTTGGTTTTGTCATGCTTATAGTTTTCCTTATTATTAAAGACAATTTTCAAAGATACAATTTTAAATTTATAATTTTAATTTTAAAGCTTAAGCTTACTCAGAGGGGAATTTTTCTGCTTGCATGGCCACAGATCCTAAGTAATAGCCCTGTTCATTCTGGTCAGGGTGACCCATATAACGTTCCGTGTAGCCTGTATCATAGAAGATCCACAGAGTGACTGGGGCCCCAGCAATAGCAACCTGCATAAGATAACACTGACAGTCAAGTGTGGTCCAGAAAAGAATGGCTAGCACTGAGAGTCTGTAACTGCAAATTTACAGGCTAAAATTATCCTTAGGCTTTAGCCCCATCACTGGAGCATACATGGTCTCAGGCAACTCAGAAAATCAAAGGGGAGTGCGAAGGTCAAGAATTTGATACTTTGTGAGTCAGTTAGCTTCATGTTCCACAGATGTGCCACACACCAAATCCTTAACCTGGGCTAGATGAAATATAAACATGGGCCTCTGTTAAAAGGGGAGGCTGAACTAGAATATATGAATGCCTCAGTGTAAATTCATTCCTGCTCCTGGGGAAAAAAATATGGGACAAGTGTCAGCTTTATATAAGAAAAAGCAGTCTTTTTTTTTTTTTTTTTTTTTAGCTTCTGTTGGCAGTACAGAATTTAAAACAATGAATGAAATATATTTAAGCACTAAATACTTGCCTCATTTTAAGTCTCCCACACAGTTTTATATTTAAATATTGATTTAAATACTGTAATTACTTTCTTGACAGCTGCAAGCCTGGGAAAATTATGGCAGTATTCAGAGTTCATTTTGTGGTTATTATAAATAAAGATTATCTGAATATACATGTAAGAACAAAAACCCTACAGTTTTTATTCTTAAAAAATAAAAAATTTTCACTGTAAAATAAAATGTTATTGAAATATTAAAAAGAAAAATGCCACTCATAATTCCCATTCCCTTAACAACTGTTAGCATCATTTTATATTTTCTTGTAAAATATTTTTCTAAGAAGTTGTTTATAGAATTGGAATCATTGTTTACATATTTCATAGTTTATTCATTCAGTACAGATTTACTTAGGACCGACTATGTGCCAAGCATTGTGCTTGGCAGCTGAGGATACAGCATAGGGCAGACAGATCCCTGCCCTCAGAGGTTATAGTCCAACAATTACACAAATAAGAACAACCCAATATGAATGTGTGTTTTACTAATCATGACTATCTCCCATAATCTTTGGCATATGTCTATAAATAGCCAGTAACTGATCAAGTTGACAATTATTTTATATAGATAAATGTAGATAAAGATACGTAAACATATCTCACGAGTTGACAAGATATATCTATTATTTCACACGGCTATTAAACACACAAACCCTAACATTTCACAGTACTGTCAACTTTGTAAACCTTCAGAAAATTTGCATTTCCTCATATCTCAATTTATAGAAAATTCTACGCTTATTGCAAAAAGAAGTACCATAGGAAATCACATACCCTGAATATATCTGACCTCTGCATTAATGCCATCAGGGAGAGGTATCCTCCATAGGACCAGCCATGGATGCCCACACGATCTAAGTCAATGAAATCATATTGAGAGGCTAGATATTGGAGTCCTTCCACCTGATCGTCAATTTCTATTTGACCCTGTAAAAAATGGAGAGCATTTCACTGATTCTGATAAATAAAAACCTTATTATAAGAGTGCTTTTAAAGCTGATAGATGTTCTTACTAAAAATACCTGTAGTTTTTTTAGATAAGAACTCATTATCAATGGAAATTCTGTTGCTTGAAAAAAAATTTTTTAACTCTAGAGATAGGAGCCTATATATAGCTTCTGTTGCTAGCCTGTCCTAGAGTTTAGTTACCCCTTAGTCATAAAGTTCTTTCCTACTGTGACCCAAAATGTCCCTTGCCATATGGGTATTTCCCATTTCCATTTGTTCTGTTGTCTGCTAAGAGGTCAGCATCTTCCTTGTAACAAGCCTTCCTATACCCAAAGATAAAAAATTAGCCCCCTTAAGTGGTTGACTAATATTACCTCTCCTTTTTAAAGCTTAATGTAATAAAGCAGAAGGAATCACTCTTGACGCATTATCCTATTTCCCTATCACCTACCTCTAGGAACTGAACATACAATTTCTTTAAAGTCCTGTATAGTCCTAATTCCTATCGCCACCACCCTGTCTGTATTACTAGGCCTGCCAGTGCACACAATCTCACTTCACTGAGCCAAAAACAAAAATAAAAACAAAAACTTACATGAGAATACAACATAAGGTCAAAGAACTGGCTGTGGGAGAAAATCCCCATGTCTTACTCAGCATGTCCAATACACTGGCAAACACAGTAACTGCCTTACTGTGCAAAAGGAACATCGGATTCTCATCATTTCCCAAAGCAGCAGAAAGGACATGGGGCATCTCTAAAAGGTAGCATTTAAAGCTTCCTGTAGAGAGAAAGAGGCTTGTCACAAGGAAGGCACTAACCAGTTGGTTTCTCTCTTCACAGAGGACAGAACAAATCTCAATTATTCCTAATAGTGTACAGGATGCTGAAAACTAAATGGACTGGCTTCTGGCTAAACTGGACATAAAAAATAGAAAGACAGGGGGTTTCTATATAAAAGTGGTTCTATCTCAGCTCCCCAAATTTACATAGAGGTAGGCATGAATAGCCTAGTGAATATCAAGTTGTACCTTTCCTCCCACCCCCAAACCATAACACATGCTCACATGCACACACGTGCACACACACTCACAGTGCCTTCCCCCAACTCCTTCTCTGGGATTTCACACTAAACAATGCACCAAAAATTGTAAATGTCTTTAAAAGAAAAATGTTTGTATGTTCACACACCATTTTATATTTAAAGGCGCCTTCAAATTTAAGCCCTCGGTGACAGGATCCCCTGTTGTCTATCACTACAACCACGTAACCCAGAGAGGCTAGGGTATTCAATCGGAAATACTTGATTCCTTTAAACCGATTATTCACCAACTGCACCTGAGGAAGAAATACAGCTTCAGTGAAATTTATTATATGGCAGCATACAAAAGCATAAGAGAGGCAGGATGCTGCAAAAAATAGAAGGCTTAAATTTTTAACATTATTTTGCCTATAAAATGAAATTATTTTCTTGTGGCAAGAACACATGAAATGGACCCTCTTAAAATTTTAAGTGTACAATACAGTATTGTTAATCATAGGACAATGTTGGACAGCAGATCTCTAGAATTTATTCATCTTGCATAATTAAGAATTTTTTATGCCCATTGATTAGCAATTCCCCTTCTCCCCCTCTCCCTGATTTATTTATTTATTTATTTATTTTGCGGTACGCGGGCCTCTCACTGTTGTGGCCTTCCCCGTTGCGGAGCACAGGCTCCAGACGTGCAGGCTCAGTGGCCATGGCTCACGGGCCCAGCCTCTTCGCGGCATGTGGGATCTTCCCGGACCGGGGCACGAACCCGTGTCCCCTGCATCGGCAGGCGGACTCTCAACCACTGCGCCACCAGGGAAGCCCTCCCTGATTTATTTTTATTTTTAAAATTAACTTATTTTATTTATTTTTGGCTGTGTTGGGTCTTCGTTGCTGTGCCTGGGCTTTCTCTAGTTGCAGCGGGCGGAGGCTACTCTTAGTTGTGGTGTGCGGGCTTCTCACTGCAGTGGCTTCTCTTGTTGCAGAGCACGGGCTCTAGGCATGTGGGCTTCACTAGTTGTGGCACGTGGGCTCAGTAGTTGTGGCTCGTGGGCTCTAACGCGCAGGCTCAGTAGTTGTGGCACGTGGGCTTAGGTGCTCCACAGCACGTGGGATCTTCCCGGACCAGGACTTGAACCCATGTCCCCTGCATTGGCAGGCGGATTCTTAACCACTGCACCACCAGGGAAGTCCCCTTATTTACTTTTAAATTAAATCTTTTCATGTTCATGTTACTTCTTTTCTTTCTTAACTTCACACTCTAAGTTCTGAGGAATTACTGAGTAACTACAGACTTTAAAATTATAACCTAGATATTAACTACATACAAGATAAGTGATTTAACCTACCCCATAGAAAAAATTACTAAAATGATTACTTCTACCCTGAGGAAGAATTGTATCATTCAAATGACAGAATAAGATCATTTTTTCTCCCTACCTGTCTCTTCTGGGATTGTCTCTGACCAGTAGAGGGAAAACTGAAGTATTTTAATGAATTACTATGACCAGTCAGCTTCTTTTTTCCTGCTACACATATCAGTGCAAAAGGTAGAATAATTCTTAAATATCTTTATTGCCCTAGAAACTATACTTCAAAACGACTGAGAAATTAAATGTAGTTTGGGCTTCACCAGAAATATACTCTCTGGTGAAAAGAAGACTTTAATTAATGGGCAGAAAGTTAGAGAAGTTCAAGGTTTGGTGGATACTAAGGTAGATAATAAACAAACAAAAAAAGGTTCTGGCAAAATTGAGGAAGTGTTCTCTGGCTGAAACCAATGGGAAAACCAAGCCAGCCAGGAGTTAAAATAAACATCGATGCTGTCTTCACTCAATAAATACCTACTGAGCATTGAGTGGGCTAGACGGGCAGTGGCGGTATAAAGAACCTTCTCCTTTTGAACTTTCAGATGTTTAGTGCCACTGCAACAACTGTCAAACTGGTCTTTCTGTTTCTATACTTGTCCTCCGTATAGTCTGTTCTCACAGCAACAGGACGGTGTTTAAAAATGTAAATCAGGTATGACTTTATAGCTTTGGTCCTCCTAATGGCAGGGGGTTTAGATCAGAGTAAGATCTAAACTCCTTACCACTGCCTTTGAGACACTACATTATCTAGCTCTTGGCTATTTCTGTGACCTCATCTCATACCATTTCCCCCCTTGAGCACTGTACTCTAACCTTACCACTAACTATATCAAGTTGGTTCTAACCCCAGGACACATTAACATTTACTGTTCCCTCTGTCTACAATGCTCTGCCCTCAGATCTTTAACATGGCTCATCCCTTCTCATCCTCTACAACCTCAGAGAGCTTCCCTGACCTTCCAGTCAGAACCCTCATTTTAGTCACTTTGCCATCCTCTTTCCCAACAATTATTCATAACACTTCCATTATATGAAGTTATATAATTTATATGTCTGCTTGTTTATTATTTTCCTCATTAATCTCCATGAGGGTGGGACATTAGTCTGACTTGTTCACTGTGGTATCCTCACTGCCTAGAAGAGTGCCTGGTACATAATAGGAACTCAATAACTATTTGCTGAGCTGAATGAATGAAAAACAGAGACAAGAGAGTGATGTTTTCCCTGTCTACCTTGGGAGGAGGGGTTTGGTGGGCAAAAGTGCTTGTTTTTAAAGGGAGGGAGCTGAAAAAAGAAGTATTAGGCAAGGAACACATATATGAACATATAAGAAAAATAACTCACTTCTTTGCTTGCTGTCAATCACAGAAGATGGCCTCAATTGCCTGATACAACATTCTCCCCCAGAGCCAGTGTTTCTGCCTTTGCAGCCTCCAGGCCTGCTTCTTCTTAGAAGGAGGTACTTAAACATAATGCCCTTTAGCACTAAGAATTCAGAAGTTTTCTTCAGTATCAATTCTTCAAAACCTGTGTTCTGCTATTTTAACTTGCTCTCTTGTGCATTTATGTTTGCAGAACAGTGTCTGGCACATAGGAAGTAGCATAAATATTTGCTAAATAAACATTTTTAAACACACTACTGTTATCAATGAAAAGTTTAAAGAACTAAGCCTTGATGGCTTTAATGGGAAATATTTGTTGCTTTCCTTGGTTTCACTTTTGTCCGACTACAGATGTTGCTGCATTTAGCGATGAAGTAATTCACCTCATGTTATGAATTGTGGCATTGTTGTTATTCAAAAGATTCCCACTTTGGAGGATTCCCTGGTGGCGCAGTAGTTGGGAGTCTGCCTGCCTATGCAGGGGACACGGGTTTGTGCCCTGGTCCAGGAGGATCCCGCATGTCGCGGAGCGGCTGGGCCCGTAGCCATGGCCGCTGGGCCTGCGCGTCCGGAGTCTGTGCTCTGCGACGGGAGAGGCCACAATGGTGAGAGGCCCGCGTACCGCAAAAAAAAAAAAAAAAAATTCCCACTTTGACCTGAATATACACCAAGAAAAAAAAGGTTTGGACCACTTATGTGATTTAATCAAATTTTGCAAGGTTATTGTGTGCTATTAGAAAGATCTGATCTTACATTAAGGAGCCTCTCCGTAACTAATCCACATGGTCATCAAACACAAGGATGAATGACCTCCCAGTGGGTTGAAGTGCCAAATGCATTCTATCATGCAAAGTCTTATGGGGAAATCTCCCTGCAAACTGAATAGCAGATTCTCCTGTGGCCTCACCAAATTTGAATGCTTCCAAAGAACACTTTGAGAAAGAAACTGTTCTATAAGTGCAAAAAAATGCAGTTGTATTCATAAAGTACTCCAAACAATTAAAGAATTTTGTTTTTACTGCATGGTGAGGACTTTATTATGGTAAAACATGCATTTTAACCATTTTAAGTGTATATAATTCAGTGGTATTAAGTACATTCACACTGCTGTGCAACCATCATCACTATCCATTTCCAGAACTTTTTCATCATCCCAAACAGAAACTTCAAACCTATTAAACAATAATTCCCTATCCCTCCCCAGTCCCTGACAACCTCTATTCTACTTTCTGTCTCTATGAATTTACTTCTTCTAGGTACCTCATACAAGTGGAAAAATATAATATTTATCCTTCTGTGCCTGGCTTATTTTACTTAGCATAGTGAGCTCAATGTTCATCCATGCTGTAGTATGAGTCAGAATTTCCTTTTTCTTTTAAAAGGCTGCATAATATTCCTCTACATACCACATTTTGTTTACCCATTCATCTATCAACGGACACTGGGGTTGCTTCCACCTTTTGGCTATTGTGAATAATGTTGCAATCAACACTGGTGTACAAGTATCTGTTTGAGTTTTTGCTTTGAATTCTTTTGGGTATACATCCTGAGATGGAATTGCTGGATCAGATTAAAATTCTATGTTTAACTTTTTGAAGTACTGCCATATTGTTTTCCATAGCAGAAACAATACTTTCCATATTGTTTTCATTTTACATTCCCATCAGCAACATATTAGAGTTCCAATTTTTCTACACCCTCACCAACATTTATTATTTTCCTTTTTTTTTGACAATAACTATCCTAAGGGGTGTGAGGTGGTATCTCATTGTGGTTTTGATTTGCATTTCCCTAATGCTTAGTGATACTACCTTTTCATATGGCTTAGACTTTTGAAACTTAATTACTAATATAAGGAGTCCTTTAGTATTAAAAATATAAATAACCAGCTAGTTTTTATAGTGTGTTTTCCACATATCTTATATATCATTTCTTCATTAGGAAGGAGAAACACCCTTCTTACTTAGTCATAATATCAAAATAATATAACAAAACACATAAAGTTTCTGAGCGTGTCCTGTAATTTCTCTCCTGAATTTCTTTGTATTACACCTTTTATTTATTTTTATTTATTTTGCAGTACATGGGCCTCTCACTGTTGTTGCCTCTCCCGTTGCGGAGCACAGGCTCTGGACGCACAGGCTCAGCAGCCATGGCTCATGGGCCTAGCCGCTCCGCGGCATGTGGGATCCTCCCGGACGGGGGCACAAACCCGTGTCCCCTGCATCGGCAGGCAGACCCTCAACCACTGTGCCACCAGGGAAGCCCTGTATTACACCTTTTTTTAAATTTACAAAGATTTAGTTCAAAGTTTTTAAGAGAAGTCTAATTTAATTCTTTCATAATTTATGTGTAGATGACAATTATACAAATGTGAATCACGTTTTGTTTGTAAAACACACTAAACAATGGCAAAGTGATTTAACTTGATATATGACAGTTATTGCTGAGATGTTATGACTTATGTAGTTACTTTTATTTTTTGGATAACTTTACATTTAGATACATTTCCAGATCTGAATAACTGGGTATAATTATAAAGGATATTTACTGAGTCCAAGAGAGTTCTATTAGAAAAACATTGTAATTATATTCTAATTTCTACAGGGTCTCAATGTAAGATATATAACCAAGATTAAACATTAAAAAAATTACCAATTTACCAATTCACCTATCCAAAATACTTTACTCTGACAGTAAAATTTGCTTAATATTCACATGCTAATACTTAAGGTGGAAACAAGAAAATCAAGGTGTAAACTTCTTACAGTGCTGAATAGTAGTATAGCAGTTGCCTTAACTAGCTGATAAAAGTATTATAGCTTTCTTGAGAGATGTGGCCTTAGAATGAAGAGATGGAATTCATTAGGCTACCAAGGCTTTCAAAAGTATCTGTTAAGACTCTTTATTTACCAAGACATTTAATTATTTAAAATCATTTCCAAAACAAGTTCTCTACCTACAAAACAACATATTTACCTACTGACATACTACATTCTCCATGACAGTTATAGTCCTCACTGTAAATTAAGAAACTGACATTGAGGGAATTCCCTTGGCGGTCCAGTGGTTAAGACTGTGCTTTCACTGGCGAGGGCCTGGGTTTGATCCCTAGTCGGGGAACTAAGATCCCACAAACCGCATGGTGTGGCCAAAAGAAAAAAGAAGAAATTGACACTGATTTTCGAGTTAGCTATCTAACAAAACCCAGCTTCCTGAACTCCTAAATTGGATAATTAGAGCATAAGCCAGAGTCAATAATAGCAGAGGCTGAGCAATGTTCAAATCTTAACTTAAACAACTGACCAGACATTTAAAAAACAAATCACCTAAAAAAAAGAAAAAGAAAATGAAAAAACACACACACACACATATATGTATATAAATATGCCCACCTGAGGACCACCATATATAAACAGCACAGTTGGGTATTTCTTTCCAGGTTGTAGATCGTGAGGTTTGTATAGCATCCCATACAATGTAAATCCAGTAGTGCTTTCAAAAGAAAAAATTTCTGGAGGGGTATAGTCAGGAAGAGGACCTGAGAGGAGGTAACATAGTCTGTAAAAGGAGTTCTTATGGGAGCTCAGCAATCTGAGAGCAAGGAAAAGATACCATAAACCCACCACCCTATACACAAATAACTAACCATCCCCCCCTTCAGATGATAAGCAAGAAATCAAGCACAAAGTTATCTTTAAAAAAGGAAATCTAATGAACATATCAAACTATCCACTTGAGAAGCAGACACAAAGTATTATGAATAATCCTTGAAGCCCAGGAGGTATTTACATGCAGAACACAAATACTTTGTGCTCGGTTTGTGTAACTTATTGATGGTTAAGCCATATACCTGATGGGAAACTGAAACCACAAATTAACTTAATCAATTGGTTTTCCAAAGCGATACAGACCTATACTAAATCTGTGTATACTGGATGATGTTACAGTTTAAGCAGAGATCATCACCATATTACAAATCCTGATTGTGGACATCAGAACATACTTATACCTTGTGGATTTGCACTAATTTCTTAATCCCTTAGGAGGTATTTATGAGTGAAAATACCTAACAGGAAAAAAGGATTTGGGGACAAAATGAATTAAAAGATACAAAAAATTAGTCCATTCTTCATGTTTAAGAAATCAAGCATTTTAAAAATAGGTAATTCACAGTGCTCTTCACTCCCATACAGAATGAGTGTTCTATCTTTTATTAAGATGGCCATTACAAGTGCTGTAGAAGTTTAAGAAAGTGACCAGCTGGGTATTCCTTAAAGCTGCAGCTTCCCTTCCCAAGAGTCTTACTAGTTCAGTATATATTATCTTCAAATTCAGTTGTTTATCTGGGAACTCATCCAAACATGTGAATAAATCACTTCCTAGCTGGTATCTTGACTATTTTAATCTTATATTCAAAAAGGCTTTCCAGGCTTGCTCCTGCCTGGAGTAGGAGGTAACCAGTCTTATTTGATAATTGATAGACTAGGAGGGGTGGGATCAATCAGGAACCCAGCAGCTCAGGGACAGGTGGTGATAAGAGATGGGAAGACTCTGTTCAGGAAATGTGGACATATGACACAGGTTTAGTGCCCTAATGTACTAATCCTACTTAAGATCAGGCTCAGGGAAATGAGTACCTGCTGAATCCAAAATGGTGGCCCAAAATTCCTTTGTTTTGCAGGTTGGGTCATCTTCAGGACTTGAGAGCTTGTAAAGGGACACACAGTGTGGATTCTTCTGGTTACTATACTTACTTATAAAGAAGTCACAATGCTAGAGAAAGGAAAAACAATTACTTTTCCCCAGGGAAAAGTAAAAAAGGTTATCTGTTGCTACATGTGCACTGATGCTACAGCTGGAGTATGGTAAGAGTCTGACCATTTATACACATATACAATTCTAAAGTTAAGTATAAGGTTTTTGCAGGCCAACTTCACCAATTTTCACATTACTGAAAAGGAGTATTACATGAATAGAGGGTTTTTGTTTTTTTCTTTTTTTTGCGGTATGTGGGCCTCTCATTGTTGTGGCCTCTCCCGTTGCGGAGCACAGGCTCCGGATGTGCAGGCTCCGGACGCGCAGGCTCAGGGGCCATGGCTCATGGGCCCAGCCGCTCCGCGGCATGTGGGATCTTCCCGGACCAGGGCACGAACCCGTGTCCCCTGCATCGGCAGGCGGACTCTCAACCACTGCGCCACCAGGGAAGCCCGAATAGAGGGTTTTTTATATGACAGGAAACCCTTTTCAAACAGGGACTTAATACCCGGCTGATGCAGCAAGAGTGGGAATAGCCACGGTCGGTCAGCCTTGTCACCTCTCCAGGATTTACATAACTGACCACGTACAGGTGATGTTCTAAAGGAGAGTCTTTGGTGCCTTCAAAATATACCAGCTTTCTGACTTCATCAACCTGGATCTGTCAAAATAACAACAAAAAAATCAGTGCTAGTATGACCTTGGCAAGACCAGTAAGTTAACAAACAATATCCAATTTTATTCAAATCATTTGAGCCACCCTTTGCCTTGTGCCTCTTTTAAAAATCTGTCTCCAATGTTAATAAGCTTGAGTTGGTTTTGCTCATGTCTTATAGCTAAGAATAGATCCTGTCCAGAAGGTAAAAGGATGCCCAAGTTGCATGCTACTGGTAGTTTCCTATATGGTTAGAATGTGTACTTTTCTTAAAATACAAAAATTATTTCATTAAAATGACAATCCTTTACAGAGAAAAAAATACCTATATTACAGCTCAGGTCAACCATTCATGCACACTTAAAGGAGTTTAATTTTAGCATCCTATTTCTCAGTGCAGCATTATCTTAGGCAGTGCTTTAGTTTTTTGTACAAATTTGTAAAAATTTCTTATCTATTGGGTTGGGGAATAACTGAACTCAATCACTCAATCAGTTTCAATACTGGTATAGTTTATAAATAAGTATGAAGGATCTTTTAAGCCTTCATTCAGAACTCAAAATAACTGCAAGTATACTCATAGCTGAATTCACTTAATATTCTTCCTAAATTACAGTAAGATTCTAAATAAATGGCTTTTATTGTTCCTTTTCAAAATCTTCTAGCAGCCTACTCAAATGATGTTTAATAAAATTCAAACTGTGTGGGCTTCCATGGTGGCGCAGTGGTTAAGAATCACCTGCCAGGACAGGAATAGAGACGCAGACGTAGAGAATAGACTTGAGGACACAGGGAGGGGGAAGGGTAAGCTGGGATGAAGTGAGAGAGTGGCACTGACATATATACACTACCAAATGCAAAATAGATAGCTAGTGGGAAGCAGCCACATAGCACAGGGAGGTCAGCTCGGTGCTTTGTGACCACCTAGAGGGGTGGGATAGGGAGGGTGGGAGGGAGACGCAAGAGGGAAGACATATGGGGATATAGGTATGTGTATAGCTGATTCACTTTGTTATAAAGCAGAAACTAACACACCATTGTAAAGCAATTATACTCCAATAAAGATGTTAAAAAAAATAAACAGTCAAAAAAAAAAAGAATCTGCTTGCTAATTCAGGGGACACGGGTTCGATCCCTGGTCCAGGAAGATCCCATATGCCGTGTAGCAACTAAGCCTGTGCGCCACAACTACTGAGCCTGCGTTCTAGAGCCCGCGAGCCACAACTACTGAGCCCGCGAGCCTAGAGCCCGTGCTCCGCAACAAGAGAAGGCACTGCAGTGAGAAGCCTGTGCACCCCAACAAACAGTAGCCCCCGCTCACCGCAACTAGAGGAAGCCCGCGTGCAGCAACGAAAACCCAACACAGCCAAAAATAAATAAATAAAATACATAAATTTATTAAAAAAAATTCAAACTGCTTTATACAGCAAAGAAAACACAAGTACATTTCTAAAAGCAAGTATTTTTAAATGCCACATTTTCTCCAAGAAGCTTCCTCTTAGTCATTATAAACATTTTCTTAGCATACATGGATAGAGAAATAAACACAGTTGACATTAAGTAGACCTATATGACACAGACAGAAAGAATACAAAGGATAGGAGGTGGCAGAACAAACATTCATGAAGCTTCACAGGTATGTGTTAATCTGTGCAAAACGTCAGGACTGGTTCTGCTCTTGACCTAGCAGTTGGAAGTCAGGCCTCTCAAAACTGCATAAATAACTGGTTAATTCCTCACTCCCCTTTTCTTTGTTTCATGTAGCAACTTTACATGAAACACCTGAGGGTTTCAGCGTCACATGAATATCAGAATCACCTGAGGGGCTTGTGAAACAAATTGCTGGGTCCCACCCCCAGACTTTTTGATTCAGGAGGTCTGGGGGGCGAGGGGGGCCAAGAATTTGTAGTTCTAAAAAGTTCCCAGGTGATGCTGATCCTCTGTGGTCCAGAAAACACACTTTGAGAACCCTAAGGGGCACATGGGTTTAAAAGCCTCAAAGATTTACTCAATTACGGTCATTAGAAATCTTTGGGTGTGAACAGGTCACTGGCAAAAGTAAAGAAGGGAAAGGTAACTTAAAAAAAGTAAAGCAAGAATAGACAGAAAATAGAAGAGTAAGAAAGAGAGACACAACCACATCACATAAATAAGCATGACATAAAGAAGAAAATTGATGTACATTATGGCAAGTAGTAGAAAGACACTTAGGTTGCCCAAATAAGGTTCAGATCTGCATAAATACAAGTTTGGGGATTCCCTCAGTATTGTCCAACCATTACACAGCATGAAGTTTACATTAGTGTAAATTTTTATTATCAGAACTTAGAATTACACTGTAAGATTTTTCTCAGGTGACAATAACATCCAACGTCCCCAAAGAGAAAAAAATATATTGAATATATAACCAAAAGGTCATGTGACACTCTCAGTGGAAACAAGACTTTAAAGGTCGCCTATTATTTTCTAAAGTTTTTACCAACAAAAACAAACCTGGGACCTGGATCTTCATTCTTTCTCCTTAATCACCTTGGGGACTACGAGTGACTTCTATAGTAGCCAGTATATATAATCCTTCAGTAAATCTCCGAATCAATTTGAGGAAATCACAGGCCTTCACTAAATCCTGGTAGCATACATCAACTTAACTGTACGTATCACACATAAAGGATGGCTTTCTTAGAGATCTCATGAAACTGACCACCTAACTGAAAGTTGAAACAAACACAAGGTACTATAAAAGGCAAAAGAAATAAAATTAGAATTCATTGAATTACTACAGAAAGCCATATGCCAAGAGGGAAACAGAGGGTGGATTTCCCTCCTCTTCCTTATCAATCTACGCTCTGTATAAATGTTCATCAAATTCTGCAGGTGGTAGATGAAACTTCAAATTTGTGAGATAAGATAAACAGGTGAATGAAACAGCATCACTACTTCAGAAGTAGTAAATGCATTTTCTAATGTAGAAATGACACAAGTAGTCTATAAGAGATTTAGAAATAATTTTCAAACTATATCATAACTCACTTTTGCTAGACTCGAAAAGCATGGACCAGCCCTTTCCTTATTAAGTAGCAACACTGTATTTGAAAATGGTGACCTTTAGTTACATCTAATACTAGGGTTATAAAATGGGTAAGATTTATAATTTAAACTAAGACTCTTCTTTTCCAACAAACTGGGTTCTTTTAGGCCCTAAAAATATTTTCAAAATACTGGGGTCATAGGAAGTTGCACTACTGATTTTTAGTACTGCATACACACAGCTGATGTTGACTAAATATATCAGTAGAATAAAAGAACATACATTAGATCCATGCCGGCCAAGAACTTCCCATTCACCGCTGGTAATTGCTATTTCCTCTTTGACAGGGCACTTGAAATCACCTGAAGATAAACATAATCATAATTCAGCACTCTACACCAGACTACAAGCAAATGAAACAATGAAAACTAGTATTCTAAACTCTTTTTTCCAAAAAGTTAACACTGAAAAATTCAAAGTTATGTCTGGAGTAATGAAAATGTTTTGGAACTAGATAGAGGTGGTAGGTATTTGCACAACTCTGTAAATGTACTAAATGCCACAGTTCATTTTAAATGTTCACTTTAAAATGGTTAATGTTATGTGAATTTCACCTTATAATAAAGTCTAAAGTTAAAAAAAATTCCAAGTTATGAGTCTTCATAATAATAATGGAATAATCCATGTAAATAAAGTGAAAACAGCAAAATAGATTGTTACGGCAAAGACAGAAAAGAACTCAAAAGCACTTGCATTCTTAGACCCTTGGTTAGAAAGATAAAAAAATCTAATGGGTCAATAAGGCATTTCTTCCAGAAATGCAACAAACTACCTAAGAAGCCAGAAAGGAAAATTTTAATACAACTGTTTTTCATTTGCCAAAAACAAATTGGGTATTACCATAGTCCATACCAACATGTCTCATTTATCTTAATAAGATTCTGTCTTGGTAGATGAGGCTTTCTCAGTGGCATAAGGAGAAAGTTAAAAAAATGGAACCACTGCTCTATGCCTAGCTGCTACCAGCTCTGGCTCTGGGGAGTGACAGCTGAGGACAAGCTCAGATGGTGAAATGATACAGGATCTTAAGTAGGGTCCTACTCAAGTTAAAAAAAAATAGACTCCTTTTCTTTTTCTTAGATACAAAAATTCAACTTAGTACTTTAAATTTTATCACCAGAAAATAAATATTATTTAACATATAATAAATACTAATTGGGACTTCCTTAGCGGCGCAGTGGTTAAGACTCCGTGCTCCCAATGTAGGGGGTCCGGGTTTGATCCCTGCTCAGGGAACCAGATCCCACATACATGCCACAACTAAGGAGCCCACCTGCCGCAATTAAGACCCAGTGCAACCAAATAAATATTTAAAAAAAATACTAATTGTTACACATTATAGACACTCATGGAAGAAAGGAGGGAAGAAGAAAATAAAATGGACATCAAGAAAAGGAGGAAGATCTGGAGCAAGAAAGACTAAGTATAAAGGAGGGAAACGGAAATAAGAGGTAGACAAACTGAGGGGCCCAGAAACAGACACTGAGAGGGAAAAGAAGCTAGGTGTTCTGAGAAGAATGTTAGCTAAGGTGACAGTTCTTATTCTTCAACAGGAGCATAAAATTTTAAGTTATCATCTTTTTATCACTGTCCCGAGAATGCTGCTTTAGTTAATTAACTACTATTCAAGCTCTTTGACCAGTCTTCATCACTAAACTTTCCAGAATTCCACAAGTAGATTTAATTTCTGAACAACAGAGGAACTGGTAAGGGCAATTTCATGCTAAGGGCCAAGTTAAACTAAGGCTCTTAGGGAAGAAATCTCAATCTTGGATATATAAGCTCCTGTCTGATTAAAAAACAATTAGGCTAAGAGAAGAAGCAAAGTCATACGCAGTATTTACTTTGCTGTCCTAAGATGTAGCTCACTGTTTCCCAAGTAAGAATGATATTTAAAAGACCATGTTGAGGGCTTCCCTGATGGTGCAGTGGTTAAGAATCCACCTGCCAATGCAGGGGACATGGGTTCGAGCCCTGGTCCGGGAAGATCCCACGTGCCACGGAGCAACTAAGCCTGTGCGCCACAACTACTAGAGCCCATGAGCCACAACTACTGAGCCCACATGCCCCAACTACTTTAGCCCACATGCCTAGAGCCTGTGCTCTGCAACAAGAGAAGCCACTGCAGTAAGAAGCCCGCGCACTGCAACGAAGAGTAGCCCTTGCTCACCGCAACTAGAGAAAGCCTGCACGCAGCAATGAAGACCCAACGCAGCCAAAAATAAATAAATAAATTTATATATATATTAAAAAAAGGCCATGTTGAAAAAACAAACAACCCACTAAAAAGTCGGCAGAGGATTCAAATAGACATTTCTCTAAAGAAGATATACAAATGGCTAAGCAACATGATAATGTTACTAATCATTAGGAAAATGCAAATCAAAAGCACAATGACATACCGTTTCACACCCACTAGGATGGCTCTTAGCAAAAAACCCCCACAAAACAAAAACGAAACCAAAACAAACAAAAAAAACTACACCCAGAAAATAACAAGTGTTAGCGAAGATGTGGAGAAATTTGAACTTCTGTGCACTTCTAATGGGAAAGTACTAAGGTGCAGCTGCTATGGAAAAGAGTATGGTGGTTCCTTAAAAAATTACAAAAAGAGTTACCATATCCAGCAATTTCGCTTCTGGGTATATACCCAAAAGAATCGAAAGCAGGGTCTGAAACAGATGTCTGTCCACCCATGCTCGTTGCAGCATTACTCACAACAGTCAAAAGGTAGAAGCAACCCATCTGTTCATGGATAGGTGAATGGATACACAAAATGTGTTTCTGTATATAATGGAATATTATTCAACCTTAAAAAGGAAGGACATTTTGACACATGCTACAACCTGGCTGAACCTTGAAGACACTATGCTAAATGAAATAAGCCAGTCATAAAAGGACAGACCTGTATGATTCCACTTATATGAGGTATCTAGAGTAGTCAAATTCATAGAGACAAAAAGTGGTTGCCAGGGGCTGAGGGGAGGAAGGAATGAGAAGTTACTTATTTTCCACTAAATCGGGTATTATTTATTGGATAGTTTCAGTTTTGGAAAATGAAAAAAGTTCTGGAGATGGATGGTGGTGATGGTTGCAGAACAATATGAATACACTTAATGCCATGAAAACGCATACTTAAAAGTTAAAATGATAAATTTTGGTTTGTATATTTTACTACAGTTTTTAAAAAATGGCTATGTTGAGTCTGTTAAGTTACAAATGGCAGTAAAGCATGTAACATAACATCATTAAATGCCTACTATTCCAAAACAAACTCTATATTATTAAAGTAGAAAACCATAACTCAATTTTTTAAAAACACAGGAGTATTCAATGTACCATTTCATTTTTCCTAGGCTTACACATTCTGTATTACATTTCCCAGAAAGAAAACCATCACTTTTTAAAAAGAAACTAACTTCAGTTGACATAATATTTAATTTCACTTTGGGAAACATAATTATATCAATCTGAAGAGCTATGCCTATAAATCAACTTCAGTGTACATGCAGACAGTATAAAAAAATCTAGTATGCACAAATATCTAATTACTTCGTAACATTTTAAAACTAGCTTTTTTAATCTAAAAATTATATGAGCTCACTTTAAACAAAATGTATAGTTAAGGCAAAAACAGAAAGTAAAAGTAAATAATCCCAATACCCAGAGATTACCCACTATTAATAGTTTATTATGTATCCATCAAGAACTTTGTCCTATGCTTATAAAGTACACAAAAAAGACATTACATTACCCTGCCCCTCCCACCTTCTGCCCCCAACGTTTTCCCCTTTTTAAATAAAAAAGGATTTCTTACTTGGGGCAGGCAGCCCACCACTGGATCGTTTGTATTTGCTCTCCTTTAAAATGGATGTGATTTTATATAAATGACGAAAACCTGTTTTGCATTCAGAGGCAAAAATAAATTCAATTTCATCTTCATGACTTTGGGGAAAAACATGAAAGATGTCATGGATCTGTAAAATGAATAGCTTAATTTACTATACACATTAATGAAAATACTACATAAACAATTCAATTAAGCCAGAGAAAGAAGAATTACTTGATAAACATACTCTGAAATATAAATAACTGTCAGGCTAGGGTGTATGGTATATGTACAATTAGAGATTTTGCCTAGGCCTTTCACGTTTCTCTTACTTTAGTCAAAGACTTCATCTATTGAGAAATAAATGTTTCCAAATGGAGAAAAAAGAAAAATATGACCAAAAGCTGTTTCTTACTCACCATCTCTGAAATTCTTTGAAACACGGCACGAAGTTTGTTTAATGATATAAATCTTATTACAGAAGTGATGAGGAAAAATGTCTTTTACTTTTCTTTTCCAGAGAGAAATATTCTAACAGTTCAAGGGAAAACAGATGTTCATCTGTTTTAGGTGAATCATATGAAGCCTATATTCAGCCAGGGAGTGAGCTGGCTTTATTTATTTTGTATCTTGTTTAAGTTTTTTCCACTAAACTGGAAAATGAAAAATTCAATCCCAAACTGTTATATTTTGGTATAGTTTGCCAACTTAGAAGAGTTAAAAGAGAAAGTCTTTCCTAGACAGGATTCTTGTGGTCCTCTCAGAGGCACTAATGAGGCTGTGTTTTCATTATCTGATGTGTCCAGAAACAAGGGCAATTCTGCAGCCAGGGAGATGTCATTTCAGTGGCATCTACCTTTTATGTACAAACCATTACCCATTCTGGAACCAACATTCCAATCTGAAAATGTTCAAACTAAGCAAATAACATTCAAGGTTACTTTGAACTCAAAAAATTCATTTTGATAGTTTTGCTATCGAGCTTCATTTGCTTTAGCATTCTGAGAAAATATTCAAACCAAGTACAAGAAAACATGCATACATTTATCCAGATGTCTGTTGTTTCTTCATAGATAATCAGTGGCGTCACAGAGTCAGGTACTGACTCGATGAGTCTCTGTCTTTCCATGGCATCATCTTCTACTGGGATAAATAATTCAGGTGAGATCAACACTATCTGTAGGCGAGTTTGGGAGCGATCTAGTAGGATAGTCCACGCACTATTTAAATAAACAAAAGAAAAGCACAAAATAAAGCACACTCTTCGGAAAATGAATATTCCACTAATCTTTCCCCTAGCACCCATCAGTTATTTCTATAATCACAATGAAAGTATTGCTTTAGTATATGTTAAATTATCACTTACAAACGGCTAATTAAAAGTATTAGCTTATTCTATACGTATTTTTAAAAGTTAAGCTTGAGTAGAGTTTTTAAAAGTAGTTTTCTTTAAATTTCCAAAATCACAGATGGCCTTTGAAATTGTTTTCTCCCTTTAATGTCGATAAATGCCTCGTGAAACTCCTGCTGTCCACATTAGACACGGGAACTACATGTAATCATCTTCACATAAGGCTCTACAAATGTTTCTGCTTAATTATTCAATTAAAAAAATACATACTTATATGTGAGCCTAAAAGTCATACAATTTAACCACAAATAACACTGTGAAACTGTGACTGGCTAAGAGACAGAATTAAAATGCAATGCACCTATGCTTATAGGATTACAAGTCCACTTAGTTCAGGAAAAATTCTTTGTGCAGAACTAGCTACACTTCAAATTTACATGTGAAGGCAGTTCCAACGGAAAGGAAAACCTATCAGCACAGACAGTTCTGGGTCCTAAATTATTTGTAAAGAAGTGGCAATTTAACATACGCACTATTTTCCCTCTGGAGTCCATCCAGCTCTGGCAATATATTCAACTCCTTCAAACAGAATCTCAAAAGGCTGAATTAGTTCCTTATCTATGACATCTATAAGCTATTAAAAAAGAAAAAAGGAATCTAGTTATAGAAAACTGAGATAAGTAACTAGCTTATTGGTCTACTTAAATCACTATCTTTAACAGCATACTTTTTCAGTCTTAGGTACACAGGATTAACAAAACCAGCAGTAAGTCATGGGTTACCTATACTGGTGCTCTACACCTGAAAAGTTCTAACTACAAGAATCAGCATAGTCTAAATGTCTTTTCCCGTGAGTTTATACTAACAGAACTCTTGATAATAACTGGTAAAATCAGATTTTAATCACTTTATAGACTCTAGTATCTAAGAAAACTAATAGTCTCTAGTTCCTTTTATTTTAGCTTAAAATACTATTTTTGTAATATATTAGTGAAATGGTCCTGAGTAAGCAAACTTTTTTCCCTTAATAGTCTAACACAATTTTAAATATACTTTCTAAAAAATGGACAAAGGATCTGAATAGACAGTTCTCCAAAGAAGATATACAAATGGCCAATAAGCACATGAAAAGATGCTCAACATCATTAGCCATCAGAAAAATGTAAATCAAAACCACAGTAAGGGGGCTTCCTTGGTGGCACAGTGGTTAAGAGTCCGCCTGCCAATGCAGGGGACACGGGTTCGAGCCCTGGTCCGGGAAGATCCCACATGCCACAGAGCAACAAAGCCCATGAGCCACAACTACTGAGCCCACTGCCGCAACTACTGAAGCCTGTGCGCCTAGAGTCCATGCTCTGCAACAAGAGAAGCCACTCCGGTGAGAAGCCCACGCACCGCAACGGGGAGTGGCCCCTGCTCGCTGCAACTAGAGAAAAGCCCACACGCAGCAAGGAAGAATCAACACAGCCAATAAATAAATTAATTAATTAAAAAACAAAAAAAAAACCACAGTAAGGTGCAACTTCAAATCCACTAGGATGGCTAGGATAAATAAAATGTGGTATATCCATACAATGGAATATTTTTGGGCGATAAAAAGCAGTGAAATGCTGTTACGTGGTGCCAACATGATTAGTGCTTGAAAACATGATGCTAAGTGAAATAACTCAAACTAGATACTGTATGATTTCATTTATAAGAAATGTCCAGAATAGGCAAATCCATAGATACAAAGTAGATTAGTGGTTGCCCAGAGTTGTGGGGCATGGAAAGGTTTGGGGGTGAAAGGGATGTGAGTTTCTTTCAGGGGTAATGAAAATGTTCTAAAATTGACTGTGGTGATGGTTGCACAATTCTGTGAATATACTAAAGGCCATTTTAAACTTTAAATGAGTGAATTGTATTGTATGTGAATTATATTTCAGGGACTTCCCTGGCGGTCCAGTGGTTAAGACTCTGCACTCACAGTGTAGGGGGCCCAGGTTCGATCCCTGGTCAGGGAACTAGATCCCACATGCCACGACTAAAAAAGATCCCGCACGCAGCAACGAAGACCCCACGTGTCACAACTAAATAAATTTAGTGCAGCCAAATAAATAAATAAATATTTAAACTGTGTGTGTGTGTGTGTGTGTGTGTGTGTGTGTATATATATAAAATTATACTTCAATAAAGTTGTTAAAAAAGTCTAGCAGAGAAGACTGTTTTTAAATTAATTTTGTGTGCATTTAGCTTATAAGCATCTGTCCAAATGGAAAGTAGCAGTATTAAAGAAATGAGGGATATTTAATCTACTGTAGACATCTATTCAACACAGAAGGTGACTCACCAGTCAGTAACCACTATTTAAGAAATACTGATCTGGAGAATTAACACAGGCAAAGAGGAAAAATACTGGAAAGGAGTGGTAAATATGCATATCCCTATATTCCTATCTTGGGAACCAGCAGAAAGTTTTCAAAGTAGAAAATTAGGTCAACCTGAAATCATGATCTGTAGATGTCTCAGCAAGTTCAACAAGTCCAAAAAATAAAAAAGCATATCTAAAATCTCTACTGACAGACTAGTCAAATGATACAAAAAGTTAACATTTTATACTTACCCTTCCTTCAGCATCAATCAGTATTTCCGACATCTTAAAAGTGACTTTTGGATTTGCTGTGCCTTTAGAAAGAGACATAAATGAATAGTAATGCATATCCAAAATTATTCAAACAAATTTTGCCAGATCAATCCTTTTTATACTTTAGTCAAATGAGGAATGTTGCATATAGTCAGGACTTTATTGCATAAGTATCTCAAAACTCCTTTTCAATTCATAATTTTTAATATGGCTATAAAAAAAAAGCTGAGAAACATCAAGAGTTAGTTCGTAATGAAGGGGAATTCGTATCATTTCACAATTGAAACACTGTAAATAGCAATATGGGAAAAAATTACTAATTTATTAAGAACATAATCCCTTAAAAATCTTTATTTCCTAGCAAAAGTACTTCTTTATTCATTTCTTGAAATAATCAGTTTTGTGCACTTCCTCACCTTTGAAATAATTAAAAAGGATCAGCCTGTAATTAAAAAACCTACTTCAGAGACACTTAAACAATCCATCCTTACTAAATCTGTAAAATATCCATGTTGACCATACCTTTGGATGAATGCAGAAAGAATCTTGTTTGAAAAGCAGGAATGAGTGAATATAAATGCCAATGGAATACAGTACCTGTTTTAGGATAACGGAATGAATCTGCCCTCCTTGTTTCCAACATAGGGGACGTAACATGAATAATTTCCACTTCGGATTCATCATTTTCTTCATACAGAATTCTAAGAATTTTACTGCCACTGCGAGCTTAAAAGGAAATTAAATATTGAAAATTTAGGAGAATTATGCCAGAAAGTAATCATAATTGACCATTCCCTCTAGTATTATATCTCCTATAGTGAAAAACAGTTTATACATAAAACATGCTGCCTTTTATGTATAGAGTATATGTACAATGTATTAAGCTAGAATGTAAAACAAATTTCTAACCAGATCACAGTCAAAAAGTTTGAAAGCTACTGCTTTAGAGAGCTGTTTCTCAGCTAGTAAAATCCTTGTGAATACACCAAGAAAAAGGAGGAATTTGTGCTCTTTTTTTCTGATCCATTCATACACTAATTTGGCCATCTGTTCATGCAGACTCTAGTCAATCCTGTTTTTTATAGCAACTCCCATTAAGGGGTGGTATTTTTTATTTTGCCACCAATGTTGCCACCAACCAGCTTCTAGATGAAAACCTGGCAAGGAGAGTTGAAGGACTTGGGGTACTGAACCACAATACACCTGTTTTTTATGAGAACTCATTACGGTGAGATATAGCCTGAATATTCTAAATAACTACTGGTAGGATCCAATCTTCATCACTTCAGAATCTATTTTAAGAATCTGTGCAGTTAACTAATTGGTAGTTGAATCTCATAATACTTTAATTGACCTGTAATATATTATTTTGAAGCCTCTTACTTGTTTCAGCTTCTGGACACCACCAATAACCAGAATATCTATCAAATTCTTCTTGAAGAACAAAGGTAGCAACTCCAGCTGATCTTGGATCCTCTTCCATGTTGGCTAGCTCTAGACAAACATAAAAGCAAAATTATCACAGAAGTTCTCTATCTTTTCATAGCTACAAAGCAGAATGATTCCATTTATTCTGAAAGGCAGCTATAGTATAGTGGTGAACTGTGGAGCTAAATGGACTGAATTCAAATCTGAGTTCCATCATTTACTAAATGACTGACCCTGGGCAAAGCACCTGATCACGTTCCACTGCAGTACCCATTTATAAATGGGAATAAGAACCTACCTTATATGGTTGTTATGAGGATTAAATGAGTTATTTTACATAAAGTACTTAGAAAAAAGCCTGAGCCATAGTATGTGTTCCATAAATGTTAGTTATTATTTTCCCATTTAGCTAGGACCATGGGAAAAAGAATACATGTAAAGGGTCATGGTGACTTTTTACTCTCCTACACAGAGAAGCACATCTTTAGACCGAGAATGGGGTCTAACAGATCATGTAATTCACCATTTTTCCTCCCTCCCCTTCCTCTTATTTAACCAAAGCAGATGAGCTTTTATCTGTTTTACACCTAGGTTTCCAGCAAATAGTCTGAAGGGAACTCTTGCTTTAAAAACAAAATCTAGGGATTTCCCTGGTGGTCCAGTGGGTAGGGCTCCACACTCCTAATGCAGGGAGCCTGGGTTTAAGCCCTGGTCAGGTAACTAGATCCCACAGGCATGCTGCAACTAAGAAGCCTGCACGCCGCAACTAAGACCTGGCGCAGCCGAAATCAATCAGTCAATCAATCTGAAAAACTACAAAGCCATAATTATGTAAGATTTCATGACATGGGAAAATGTTTACAATATACTTGAATTTAAAAAAGCATATTACTAAATGACATGTATACTGATTCCATTTATAAAAGTGTAATACAAATACATATTTTTTAAAGTGTCAGGATATAAATCAAAATGTGGTCCTCTCCAAATAGTGAGACTATGAACAACCTTTTTAAAAAGAATTGCTTTATAATTTACAAAATCTTAAGTGTACTGTTTACTCTGAAAAATGCATATGCTTGCATAACCACACGCTATCAAGACACAGAATATTTCCAACACCCCAGAATGTTTTCTCATGCCCCTTCCCAGTCAATGTCCATTCCTGCCTCAGAAGCAACCACTGATCTGACTTCTATCACCATAGGTTAGTTTTGAATATTCCAGAATTTCATGTAAGTGAAATCATACAGTATACACTCAGCAACAAACACAGTATGTTTGTTGCTGAGTGGTATTTCACTGTATACCACAGTTCTTTTATCCATTCATCTGTTAATGGACATCTGAGCAGCTTCTAGTTGCTATTATGAATAAAGATGCTATGATTATTCTTGTGTAAGAAGCTATGTGGACATGTGTTTTCCTTTCTCTTGAATAAAGACCTAGGACTGGAATGGCTGGGTACTGTAAAAAATTTATCTTTAAATTTATAACAAACTGCCACACAGTTTTCCAAAGTATCTGTATTATTCTATACTCTTACTAGCAATGTATGAAAATTCCTCTCCAACATTTGGTGTTCTAACGGGTGTGCAGTAATATCTCGCAGTGATTTTAATTTTATAGGCAGGTGTCACTGTATTATGTTCTCTTATCTGTATTTTCTGTATGTTGTCTGAAACAAATGTGCAATATGAACCAATGACCCCTTATCCAAAAATTTTGAGTCCAGAAGTGTTTCGAACTCAGAATTAGGGGGATTTTTTCATATTCATACATCTATGCATAATTATGTCACTCTCCAGCAGGGTAATCAAATACCCTGTAATCAAATATACTAATATTCCTGCAGCAAATTTAGGAATAGGCACACTAAGTAGGATTAAGATTATAAATATCCTCAGGTCAGTTCAGGTCAGGTTTTGCCACCAAATGAGTTTTAGCACCAACCTAATGAAAACTAACCTCAGTTTTCAGAGTTTCTGAATTTTGGAATTAATGATATAGCCAAAACCAGCACTCAGTTTTCTTGGATCTTTCAACTACTCCAAAGTTATACCTTCCATACTGCTTTGTATTTTGTTCTCCTTTAGATGTGAGACTATGTATCGCTCATTTATATCTCCCTATCACTTACTACAGACCTCGATTACTAAGATTAATTAGATGAATAAATGGTATCATCTTGTTCTCCCAATAAGATATGTCCTTTGAGAGGAGAGGTTGGTATTAAGTTACCTTTAAATTCCTCTATTACAGGAGGCAGAGAATAAACAAATGCACATGCCAACCGACTACACCCACCCCAAAGGGGACTTTCACGTGGAAACCTACTGTGAATAAGAGGGGTAAGAGTGATGTTGCTTACTCTCTACCTACCTTTCTATCTAGGGCTTCCCTGGTGGCGCAGTGGTTAAGAATCCACCTGCCAATGCAGGGGACACGGGTTCGATCCCTGATCCAGGAAGATCCCACATGCTGCGGAGCAACTAAGCCCGTGCGCCACTACTACTGAGCCTGCGCTCTAGAGCCCATGAGCCAAGACTACTGAAACCTGCACACCTAGAGCCCGTGCTCTGCAACAAGAGAAGCCACCGCAATGAGAAGCCTGCGTATCGCAGCGAAGAGTAGACCCCGCTCACTAAAACTAGAGAAAGCCCGTGCACAGGAACAAAGATCCAATGCAGCCCTCCAAAAATTAATTAAAAATTTTAAAAAATGGTCTATTTCACATGTTCAAAAAAAAAAAGCAGTACACTATTTCCCATCTTTCATTTGTATAAAAGCTTTGGAGAAAAACATACACATCTTTTCTGTGTTTTCAGTACTGCTTAGCATTATTATAGTCACTTCAATAAAAATTAAAAATTTCCACAATACAGAAAGTTTTATTTTTCCTATTAGGACAAAATAACTAAGCAGGCTCTGCAAAAAGGGGAGACAAATTTTTAAGTAGTTCTTATAGTGTGTACTAGATTTTTCTGTTTGTTTCCCTAAAAACAAGGTTAATTTTTAAAATTAAATTTTATTTTAATCAGAACAGTTTTGGGACTTCCCTGGTGGTCCAGTGGTAAAGAATCTGCCTTTCAGTGCAGGAGACGCAGGTTCGATCCGTGGTCGGGGAACTAAGATCCCACATGCCACAGGGCAACTGAGCCCGTGAGCCGCAAACTACAGACCCCATGCGCTTTGGAGCCTGCTCACCATAACTAGAGAGGGAACCCGCACGCCACAACTAGAGAGAAGCCTGTGCACCGCAACAAAGAGCCCGAGCACCGCAACGAAAGATCCCGCATGCTGCAACGAAGATCCCGTGTGCCACAACTAAGACTCTACACAACCAAAAATACAAATTAAAAAAAAAAAAAAAAAAGAACAGTTTTGGGGAAAATTCTGCTAGTCTTATTAGGCTAAAAGAACAACCAGGTCAGAGGTGCTACTGTTGTGCTGTCTGAAAATGACCCTTAAAACAAGGGAGCATTATATAGGTGGTACATACCAGTTATCCACTGTACTTTTGTCTTTTTTCATTTTAAAGATTTAAGTTTAAAATATAAAGATCACCCAGCAAGTTTCAATTGGAAAATGTAAGCAAAAGCAAATTAAAATTTAAAAATACTTTTCAGGAAAGCAGATTTGAAGAACTTGAATTACCGTTGTGCACATACGTAAGCCTCCTTTCTTCTCTCGTTACAATGTTGGATATCCATATATCATTGCTATGTATAAAAGCAATCCAGTCTGGATCCGCTGGGCATAATTTTGGATCCATCCGAATGTTGGGACAACTGGTCTCCACTAAATTGGGCCGTAAGGGTTGTTGCTAGAAAAGTAAACAACATTTAAAGGCAAGTATCAGGCTGATACATATTTGTTTACCAGCGCCCTTCCTATAAAACGAATACTAATCCCAAGTATAATATCAACTATAATAACTGCTCTCCAGAAAAATGTACCTTCATATGCCTTAACTTATAAGAAAGGACTCATTTTTTTTCTATGAATTAATAAGCATAACAGGAGCAGAAATAAAGACAAAATAAGAGCACTTCATAAATTCTGTTGTCCAAACCTGTTTAAACAGAGTAATTATCGTTTGTTACATGCTTTTATTAAACACTTATTTGACTATTTCACTTATTAAATATTTCTAATTAATTTTACCAGTATAAAATAATTTGCTCATAAAAATGTAATGAAAGCTAGAATCATCACAATTCTATTAGAAGAATAGTTCTGATATCACATTAAAATTGCCTAGAATAAAATCAAACATTTAAAACCATTTACTGAGATGAATCAAGCTTTTAGGGGAACCAAAGAGGGATTGCCCTGTGATATCATTATCTTCGAAAATCCACCTCAGCACTTACTCAAAAAGTGGCACTGATGCCCTTTACTAATTCTTCCTACACAGCAAGTGTTTTTAGCATTTTAAAAATTGTATACTAATGTCACTGAAAAAATTATTAATTCTTAAAATTGGAAATTAATACCCATATTTCTTGTTTTCTTTACTACTAAATTAGTAGTAAACAATTAGTGAAAAGAATTTTTTAGTTTGTTTAATTACCTTTCTGATTTGGACACAAATAACTTCAGGACCCAAAAACAGATTTATCAAGTAGTAACATCAACTTACAGTAAATCCTTGTGGCCCTCCATCTTTTACGTGATAAATTCCACTACCAGCTTGAAATAGAAATGTTCCACTTCCTTGGTGATAATCATAAGAAGCAATTCCAACTGTTCCGATTCGTTTTCTTTCTCTCAATAGTTCTTCTTCTCGAGAATACATTCCATAGTCCAGTGTTGCCTAATACAGAAAGAAAGTCTCACATTCCAGTCTTCTGAAAGGTGGCTTTTTGCTTTTAGCACTGAAATTCTGGCATCTCCAATATTATTGGGTTTACATTTTGAGTGATCCCAAAATTTGCCAGCAACTTTAAACAGATTAATTTCAGGAAGTCTGCTGAAAAATTTCTTGGTAAAGGGTCCCTAGACGATTACTGTATACATTAGAGAGCAAGAATTAAGTCTCATCACCTTGGCTTGGCATTCAAGATCTTCTACAACTTAAATGTAATATAGCAGTTCTGCATGCACTTAAGAGCAGACTCTGAAGTCAAGCAGTTTGAATCTAGGCTTTGACTCTCATTAGAAGTCTGACTTTGGGCAAGTAGTTTAATTTCTTCCAAAGTAATTTTCTTCACTTTCAAAGTAGTAATAAATCATCTACTTCAGCTTTGTGAAATTTAACTTAGATTAAAAATATGTAAAATGTTTAGCACAATGATTGGCACAGAGTAAAGTTCTCAAATGTCAGCTGTCATTAGTACCTTTCCACTAATCCACTAATTTCTGCTTTAATAAAACCTTAGGTCAGGCTTGTCACACCACTGAGGTAAAACCCAATATGCGGTGTTCTGCTCCTGGCCTTTGTTCCATCACCGCCCCCCCCCCCCCCCCGCCCACCCGAGGCCATTTTTCTTTCTATCCATCCAAGTTTTACTGATATCCCAAAACCTTAGCCCTAATTCAACATTGGCCAGGAAAGTTTCCTGATGCACTATGGTGTACAGTGATCTCTTCTTTGAAATTTATATGAGTTACTATCTCTTTTACTCATTTGGCTATGGTTTTGTTTTTCACTTTTTTTCAGTATTTCTGACTAGAAATAGATTAAAAAAAAAACAACTTGAGAGCAGAATCTGATTTTTGCTTTCCTACCTAAAGCATCTGTTAAAATCTCCCTCAAAGAATATTTGTAATCAATGATTGATGATGAAGGACCTTCCCAAACTAAAAATATTATTTGACACATATGTAAAATTTAAAAATATATATATAAAAAAATCTAATAAGTGCTAGTTTTAAAAATTTACATCCACATCTTCCCTCACTAAGAGTTCTTTATGATAAATAAGGGGATAAATAAAGGAATGGTAAATAAGGGAAACAGACGTGGTTTCTGCTACCAAGGACTAACACTATTTTATGTTATGTTATGTTATTTTATTTTATTTGGCCGTGCCATGGCTTGCGGGATCTTAGTTCCCTGACCAGGGATCAAACACCGGCCCCCCACAGTGGAAGTGCAGAGTCCCAACCACCAGACTGCCAGGGAACTCCCAAAGGACTAATACTTTAAAAGTAGCCAAGTTCAGGGACTTCCCTGGTGGTCCAGTGGTTAAGAATCCACCTTCCAATGCAGGGGACGCAGGTTAGATCCCTGGTCAAGGAGCTAAGATCCACACATGCCGTGGGGCAACTAAGCCCGCATCCGTACGTCGCAACAAAGACCCAGTGCAGCCAAAGTAAAAAATAAATAAATATTTAAAAAATAAAAAAAATAAAAGTAGCCAAGTTTATATATCCGGAAAAAACCATAATTCGAAAAGATACATGCACCCCAGTGCTCACTGCAGCACTATTTACAATAGCCAGGACATGGAAGCAACCTAAATGTCCATCAACAGAGGAATGGATAAAGAAGATGTGGTACATATATACAATGGAATATTGCTCAGCCATAAAAAAGAACAAAATAATGCCATTTGCAGCAACATGGATGGACCTAGAGATTGTTATACTGAGTGAAGTAAGTCAAAGATCATATGGTATCGCTTATATGTGGAATCTTAAAAAAAAAGGGGGTACCAATGAACTTATCTACAAAACAGAAACAGAGTTACAGATGTAGAAAACAAACTTATGGTGACCAGGGGGTAAGGGGGGTGGGGAGGGATAAACTGGGAGATTGGGATTGAAATATACACACTACTATATATAAAACAGATAACTAATAAGGACCTACTGTATAGCACAGGAAACTCTACTCAGTAGAGTTTGCAATCAATGATTGCATTTAGGGCCCACCCTAAATCCAGAATTATTTCATCTTGAGATACTTAATTACATCTGCAAAGACCCTATTTCTAAACAAGATCACATTCACAGACACTTTTAGGACTTGGACATATCCTTTTGGTGGTCCCTATTCAAACAACAGGACATTATCAAGAAAGTAAACAACAAAAACTGCAAACAACCTGGTTAACAAAGTGGGCAAAAGACTTGATTAGACATTCCTCCAAAGAAGATATACAAATGGCCAATAAGTACATAAAAAGATGTTCAATATCACTAATCATTAGGGAAAAGCAAATCAAACCACAATGAGACACTACCTCATACTCATTAGGATAGCTCCTATCAAAAAGCCAGAAAATAGTAAGTGTTGGCAAGGATGTGGAGAAACTGGAACTCCTGTGCACTGCTAGTGTGAATGTAAAATGGTGCATGGAAAACAGTATGGCAGTTCCTCAAAAATATAAAAATGGAACTATCGTATGATCCAGCAATTCCACCTCTGAGTATATACCTAAAAGAATCGAAAGCAGGGACATGAAAAGATATTTGTATACCCATCTTCATAGGAGCATTATTTATAATAGCCAAAAGGTAGAAGCAATTCAAGTGTCTATTAATGGATGAATACACAAACAAGATGCGGTATATACATACAACAGAATAATATTTAGCATTCTGACATATGCTACAACATGGATAAACCTTAAGGACATTATGCTAAGTGAAATAAGCCAGTCACAAAAGGACAAATACTGTATGATTCTACTTCTATGAGGCACCTGGAGTAGTCATACTCATAGGAACAGAAAGTAGAATGGTGGTTGCCAGGGGCTTGGCAGAGAGGTAATGGGAAGTTATTTTTTAATGAGTACAGTATTCCAGTTTTGCAAGACAAAAAGAGTTCTGTGGATGGATGGTGGTGATGCTTGCAACAATGTGAATGTACTTAATGCCACTGATGTACTAATGTACACTCAAAAATGGTTAAGATGATACATTTTATATTATGTGTATTATGTCCACAATTTTTTAAAATGAAGGTATAAGAACTTCAGAGTAAGGTAAATGAAGAATAGAAAAAAGGGGAAGTAACAAAAATGTCTTATCTCGATAAAGGAGAGATCAAAATGTGTTTAAATGTATAGGTTTAAATTAATGATTATAGTACTAAATACTTGCCAAAGGTAATTATGGCTGATTTTCTACTAATAAATTAATGATTACTGCAATTAAAGAAAAAGATAAAAAGACAACCCACAGAATGGGAGAAAATAAAGTCCAGTATCTAGAATACATAAAGAACTCTTACAATTCAACATTAAAAAGACCCAATTTGAAATGGCAAAGGACTTGCACAGACCTTTTTTTTTTTTTTTAGGCCTCATCATGCAGCTTGCCGGACCTTAGTTCCCCGAGCAGGGATCGAACCTGGGCTCCCTGCAGTGGAAGTGCATTGTCCTAACCACTGGATCACCAGGGAATTCCCCAGACATTTCTTTTCTTTTTTAAAAATTAATTAATTTTATTTATTTTTGGCTGCTTTGGGTCTTTGTTGCTGCATGTGGGCTTCCTTCTAGTTGCAGCAAGCTGGGGCTACCCTTCGTTGCAGTGCTTGGGCTTCTCATTGTTGTGGAGCGTGGGCTCTAAGTGTGCGGGCTTCAGTAGTTGTGGCACGTGGGCTCAGTAGTTGTGGCTTGCGGGTTCTACAGCGCAGGCTCAGTAGTTGCGGCACATGGGCTTAGCTGCTCCACGGCATGTGGGATCTTCCTGGAACAGGGCTTGAACCTGTGTCCCCTGCACTGGCAGGTGGATTCTTAACCACTACGCCACCAGGGAAGCCCTCCCCAGACATTTCTTTAAAGAAGGTATACAAATGGCCCATAAACACATGAAAAAATGGTCAGCATTACTGGTCATTAGGGAAATGCAAATTAAATAACAATGAGGTATCACTTCACATCCGTTAGGATGGCTATAATCAAAATGACGGACAACAACAAGTGTTGGTGAGGATGTAGGAAATTAGAACCCTTATACATAGCTGGTGGGAATGTAAAATGATGCAGCTGCTGCGGAAAGCAATTTAGTAGTTCCTTAAAAATGTAAACACAGAGTTACCACATAACCCAGTAATTCCACTCCTAGATATATACCCAAGAGAACTGAAAACAAATCTATACAAAATCTTGCATTTGAATGTTAAAAGCAGCATTATTCATATAAGCTCCAAAGCTGAAACAACCCAACTTTATCCATGAATTGATGGATAAATAAGATGTAGTCTAGCCATACAATGGAATATTATTCAGTCATAAAAATAAACGAAGCATTATTACCTGCTATAGTGTGAATGAATCCAGAAAATACTGTGCTAAGAGAAAGAAACCAGTCATTAAGGCCCACATATTATACAATTCCATTTATATGAAATGTTCAGAATAGGCAAATCTATAGAGACTCAAAGTAGATTAGTGGTTGCCTTGGCCTGAGGGTACAGAGGGTGAAAGGATGGGGAATGACTGCTAATGGGTTTCTTTTGCAGATGACAGAAAGTTCTAAAATTAGATGGTGATGATGGTGACACAACCCTTTGAATACACTTAAAAACTACTGAATTGTATACTTTGAGTGAATTGTATGGTATTTGAATTATATCTCAACAAAGCCAGTAAAAAAATTTTTTTAACGGAAAAGCTTATTCTATGCTAACAGTAATCAAAAGGAAGCTAGAGGGACTATATTAACATCAAAGTAAACTTCAGAGTAAAGAATATTACTTGAAATAAAGAAGGTCATTTCAAACTAAGAAAGCAGTAGATTTACGAATAGGATATAACAATCCTATCCACTTATACCCCTAATAACATAGCTTCAAAATATACACTAAAGGAAAAACTAATAGAACTGCAATGAGAAACAGTCAAATCTACAATTATGGTTGGA